AAACTTCAGTTGAACGTACAGCGCACTGACTTTGAACCGACGGTACCAACTTTCAGGAGTGGCTTGACAACCGAGTTTGACTTAAAATAGCTAATTTAAGTGTGACTGACTACAAAAAAAAGTGATCGGAGTTGTCTTGACCCTACTGGAAATCCTCTGTTTTTTCTATAGCTTTTGATACGTACTTTAGTCGTCTAATATGTTATATCGCACCGGTCCTCAAACCTTTCCTAAAACTTAGGGCCGTCAGTTTTTCGTCGAACTGAAGTTTTGGGGTGCCTTGTATAGAACAAGAAGTGTGAAGTCTACATACTTTTATTAGAGTGTAGCTTAGCCTAACCAAACCCCACCTTTTCAGCGGATACATAGCTGGCCTCGTTTTACGCTGTTTAAATATGAACCACCGATTTGACGAATTGTCATTCGCTTCTCCACCTTATCCATACTCAGGTGATAGTTAAATTAGAATAATTGAAATACGTAATGGAAATTACTTTTTAGGTACTTTATTTTTGTACTTAAGTACTTTTCTCTGCCAGCTCAATTCTAACTATGATTTAATCAGTTTTGAACATCAGATTTCGAGCCATTTTACATTACAATTACTACCACGTTCTTGAAGTTTGGATCACTCTGTATTTCGCTATATCTGTGGTATTCCAGTGCCTTCCGGTGGTCACGCAAGGGGTGGAAAGCTTTTTCCGGTTTGAGTAATTTTTGAATTCGCTTGAAGGGAAATATTTGGGGAACTTTCGTGGGCTCTGCTATGCGATCGATCTTTTGCCATGACAGGCGTGCCCGCCTGCTGCGAGGATATTTTTGTTATTTGCTGTTCACTGCCCATCTTTCTTATTTTTTTTTGTAGATTCCCCACAAGTAAAACACCCAGTCAAAATTGGCCCCTCGCTGACCGGCACAAAGATTTGAAGTCCAGCAACCCCATTCAATGTCCTACCGCACTTCAGCCTACATTTTGCGGTGATACCGTGGCCTACAGATAAGGCTATGGCAATGTGATCTTGACGCATATCATGCCACTTTATTTTTATCATAGCACTCTGTCGCTTTTTTCTGCAAGTATGTACGGCCTCCGGCTTCTCCAACTGGAGAAGGGATTATATTAGCCCATAGTGACCATCCAACAAACACGCGTGAGTTCGTAGCGAAATGTGATATCCACCAATTGCGAAAATTTTGGCACATCAAAAGATAAATAGAATAAATTGTATTTGTGTTGTCCGTCCGTTTTTTCTCCGCTTCTAAGTTACCGCGTTACTATTTCTTTAGCCTGATAACCAGCTCCAGTTTTACATTCCCGTATTTTTGATTGCACAGACCACATATATTCTTCAATCATAATTATTAGTAAGGTGATTGTATTTTTTCACCGTAATTTTTTTGTTGAAATTTGTGTACATTTGTGAGCAGGTAATTCATGTAGCAGTCTACGAAATTCCAACCGAGGACACCACGAACCAACAACAAGAAACGAAAAACATCTACCAATTCCGAGCAGAGGAGTTAGGATAGGAAACCTTCGACGCTAAACCGAAATCTGTCTTACAAGGCACGGCATATTCTCCGTAATTGTATTGCGGCGCTGGTACTCTCAAGGCCGGGATTCTAAAACTTCGTCTAGCGATCGGTACAGAGTGCTCCTTCCAAAAGTACTTAATTTTTTTTTTTTTTTTTTAGCGGGATAGCATTTTTGTTTGAATTTCAATTTGCTTTTTGCGCATGCTTTTTCTCAACGCGTCCAAAATAATGACGCTGCATCGCTCAACTTATTTTATGTCTCCTCGTGAAAACCACGTGTTCCGCCCGGATCCGCCTTCTCGTTGTATGAACCCGCGTATCGCGGCAGCTCTGAAGTTCGGATAACGATCTCGGGGGGATCGAGGCAGCTCCGCTGACGTTACTGAAAGCAACGCGCTTAAGCGTATCAGTCAATAAAGACCTCTTCTACAGGTTTATTTTGTATTTCTGCACACGTTTCCTCCACGGGGATGTCTAGGCAGGTATCGGATCGACGAGGCGGTAGCCACGAAAGCAGCAAGATACGAAGTAGGTTTGACAAGGCGCAGTCTTCGGGTAACGAAGGAAGACAGAACCTACGGGAAGCCAATGTTGGGCATACATTAAACACGAGTTCAGAGTCAGCTCTCGGCTGAGGCCCAATTGGTGAGAAAGCGAGTTCTAGAGCAGAATGCAAATGCAATCCTCGTGTAACTAAGCTGCGTCCCTCGTTGGCCTCGTCAAAGGCGCAATCCCAAACACGCCTCAGACAGCGTCTAAGACGTGCTTGTGTGACCATAGCCTCCTATATACTGATAGAGCCTGGCAGATTGCCACGAGATATGGCCGCCAAAACGGAAAAGGTGGAGCGGCAGACAACGGATGAGAGGAGAGCCACGTGACTGGCGCCCCGTTGCGGCCAGACGCCGAAACACACTTGTCCCGAGCGAACAAGTGTGTTTCGTGTCCTTGCCGCTGCAAAAGTTGTGCACTGACGTCCAGGTTTCCCGAGAAAAAGCTTTTTGATGCCCTGTGCTACCAGACTCTCGCGCACCAAATTTGCGACCGGGCACTGTATGGCTCCATCGTCGAACTGCCAGGCTTTGCGAATACAGAGGAGGCTATGGTATGACGGTCACTTTGGCCACCGAAAAAGTTATTGTGGACGTGTTCGAAATTGTTCAAAAAGGAAGTGGCGTTGAAGTACGGTTTATAAAATTTAGTGTTTACCGAGTGCTCGTTAAAAAGTTGTTTAAGCGTGACGTATGCGTTTATGAAAACGAAGTAGGAAGCAGCCTGTGCCGAGAACCCGATAAATTTTGCCTATTCGTCTATTCGTAAGGCAACATAGGGAAGAGCCAAGTAGGAACATATTTTTACATACTTACACGGGTTATGGAACTTGTCCCGAAAAGGTAGCTACTATATTCCGAAGCTATTTTAGCGATTAATATTCATCGGGCTTTCTCCAGAACGCGAATTCTGTAGGTAGCAATGTTTCTAATCACACTTTCTCATTTCGACTAAGTTAATATTGATGAAATCTTAGAGGCAATGAAAAAATTAAAACCAAAGCGATTTTTTGGAGCATATTTAATACCTAGTTTTATTGTTAAGAGCAATGCTGATATCGTTGCCCCTTTACTAAAACATGCATTCAATATTTCAATTAAAAAAAAGTGTTTTTCCAAGTCTATTGAAAAAGTATGTTGTACCAGTACACAAAGCTGGTGACGTGTCTAAGGCAGGGAACTACCGCCATGTATCGTTACTAAGTACTTTCTCAAAAGTTTTTGAAATATTGATCTACACCCGTGTTTAGTTTCACTTCTTTTGGAAACCGAGCGCCGTTCAACATGCAACTATTTGTAAGAGGTCGCTCGGTTGAGGTTCAGCAGTGAACCTTTGATTACTACTCAATGTATGCACTGTGCAGTTCGTTGTTGCGCGAGGGCAAGTCGATATTGTTTGTTTAGATTTATCTAAGGCTTTTCATAAGATAAACCACAAATTGCTTCTAAATAAACTTGCCTTATATGGTGTGTCGTCACTACTTTTATTGTGGTTCAGTAGTTATCGGAATGACCGTCAGAGAAACGTACGTGTCTTGAAGAGCTTATCAGACATTTTTGTACCAACCTCGGGTGTGCTTCAATGGTCAAACCTGGGGCCGCTTCTTTTTCTTGTATTTATTAGTGATATTGAATATTGTGTAAGAAATCCTCAGTTGCTCTTATTTCCAGACGGTATCAAGCTTTATATAAGAGTTCAGTCGACGAATAATTGTGTTATTTCGCGAGGGACGTTGCCCGCACCTCAGGGTTTTGTTTTGATAACTTATTACTGGTCATTCCAGATAAAACAAAGAATTCTAACGATCTGTAGAAAATGTGAAGTAATTTCTATCTATCCAACGAGGTCAAACGAATCGTGACTTAGGTGTTTATTTTTACAGCTACCTTAATTTTTCATACCACGTTACCCAAATCGTTTCCTTTTCTTCTCGAATGCTAGGAATCATATCACGCCTGACGCGTGATGCTTTTTAATCCTCTGTGTCCTTCGCTTGTTTCGTTCTTTGGTTTGTGTTACGCTCAAGTTTTTTAGTGCTGTTTGAAATTCGCTGACGGTGACTGATGCAGCAAGAATCGAAAACGTTTAGAGACGATTTTTTTGCATTGTGTATGAGATATTTTCAGAGATGCTTGTTTAACTATTAATACAATCTTAATGAGCTTTTCTTACGCGCCTTGTCGAAAAGAAGGGCTACTGGTGACCTTCTATTCTTAGATAAAGCGATTCATGGAGGTGTAGATATTAATTTGTCGTCATCATTACAATTTCATGTGCCCGCTCGTTTTTCTAGATGTTCACGCATTTTTTACTCATCTATTGAAGCAAAATTCTCACCATTAATAAGAATGCGGAACTGTTTGCATCACCTGTCTCGTCATGTTGACGTATTTTCATAGTTATCTGTTTTTAAAAGGGAGCTTGAGTTGCAAGTTTTTGGCTCTTAGTCTGCATGGCATTCTCGTCGAATGTGATTATTAACCTGGACTGTGTGTTTCATTTAGATTTATGTGCCACCATATTCTGACGGGCTGGTTTTTTGGGGCATCAAAGATATAAAACATTATTCCGTATCATTATCATCATCATCATCACCATCGTCACCGTCATCATCATCATAATAATCACCACAGTTATGTTCGAAGCAAACTTGCTTCCAACATGGTTAAGACCAGTCCGCACATAATTTTGTCATCGTCGACATCATATATGGCTCATGTATGAGCCATATATTAAGCTTAAGCTGATGTCGAAAATTCTGTTCTACGTCTTCGCTATCTAGGAGGTACGTGAATAGGCGGAACACTTCTCCAACTTGGCCGAGCATCGAGTACTAGGTCACCGATGCATTGCGGCTGATTCGGGGCTGCGATCGTCTCAACCCGCGTCTCCTCTCGGACCTCTCCCCGCAGGTCCTCCCAGAGCGCCGTACAACTGCACGCTAAGCAACCAGACGGAGGAGGCCTTCCTGGCCGAGTGTCGCGAAGACCACAGCGGCGGCCTGCGCCAGCGGTACAACCTGGAGGTGCACGACATCTCGTGCCACCGGCTGCTGGCCAACCTGACGGCGGACCGGCCGGCCTTCTGGGTACAGGGTGTGCCGGCGGGCCTCAACTACGTACTCGTGCTGTACGCTGCCAACGAGATGGGCCGCTCCCAGCCCGTGCTCCTCAGGGCCGAGGCCGCGGACCGCTACTGGGACGGCGCCCGACACGGTACACCTCCATTCCGTGCTTACATCACGCTGATACGCAGTCGCGCCTCTCGATGGAATACGACTCATAGAGTTCATATACTAATCTAAACTCCAATTAACATGGAGTCACGCCACAGACGACGCAACCATTCGATGAAGCCAATGGAGCGACGCCGAATGTGCCCAGTCTATGCGCTGGCCATCTTCGCCCCTTTGCCATCCCAAACTAAGCCAATGACGCGAACTGAGTTCGCCGTGATATTGAGGTTCTTTCTGCTATACTTTGTTTGAGCTTAGGTCCGAGCGCGACCTATGTTATGAGCCGAAGGGGCATTCATACAGTGCAAAAAACGCAGCGTCATGGCCTGCTCTCTGCACTTTATAGAACATTCCGGCAGAGGAGCACGCACAGAGAAACGGCGAATACCGGCTGGTCCTACCAACTGCAGAAAGCACGCCATGGACGTTGTGCCTCTTTCGCTGCTTGATTGGCCCTTCGGCTCATAACATAGGCCGTGCTAGGACCTAAGCCGAAACGAAGTACAGTGTTTGATTTAGCTGGGGACAGCAAACGCATGAAGACGTCGAGTGCCACGAGGATGGGTGCTACGTGATTGGCTCCATGAGATCGCAGCGTGGGTTCCGACCGGACTTAGCGCGAAACGGAGTTAACAACAAAAGGTCCACCAATTTCCCATGTCGTTCTGCCGTTTCGCCATGGCGAGGCAAGGCGGAAATCGATAAATTTGTCGGGAAACGTTCATGTTAAACTTGACGGAAAGATTTTCCGCTGGATTTCAAGGTAAAATATTCCGTTATGTTGGGCGAGAAACATTTCCGCTAAACTTTGGCAGGAACATTTTCACGCCACATTTATCCGGTTAATCCCATAATGCAATGCCCGCAGCCAGGAGTGATGTCACATGTTACACACGTGGCTGCGCGCGTGGCGTTATGGGATTTTCCGATTCCACCGACTCCGACACCGGATTTTTTTGCAACTCAAGCTCCTAAACGCTATCGCGTTAAAAATGACAGCAACATTTAACTTCAAAGTTCTATGACGCATGAAATGCAGTGTTTAGAAAGCCATCATTTTAATTTTTTTAGCGGACTATACTGTCTTGTATTATATAGGTCACGTCACGTCGTCTAACGAGCCTCAATTTTCCCTCTAAATTTAGAGGGGGAACTACATTATAGTTTACGTGACGCCAAGTTGCGTGGCGGCGATTTCTCCACCAAATTTGTTGGGGAAACGGGGTCACGTGACATCAAGTCACGCGAAATCAATTTTCAAGCCAGATTTATCGGGAAAACTGAATTGGTGTAAGCTCATGTGACGTCAATTTTTTCCGCTAAATTTAGCGAGAAACCGAATTTGTCTCTAGGTTCCTTGACGTCAGTTCACGTGACATCAAATTTAACGCTATATTTTGCTGGGAAACTGGATTGGTGTATAGGTCACGTGACGTCGGGACATGTGGCATGAAATTTCCCGCCAAATCTAGCGGAGAAAGAGAATACGTGTATAGATTGTGTGCGGTCAATTGTTTTGCTAAATTTAACGGGGAAACTGAATTACTTCGTAGTTACCGTGACGCCAATCACGAGACATCAAATTTTACTCTAAACTAAGCGGGAAAACTGGATTCGCGCTTAGATCAGGTGACATCAATTTATCTAATAAATTAATTGGGAAATACATGGACGAACAGTCTGACAGCTAGCGGGACCAAATTAATTTCAACAATTGTCCGGCGTATAGAAAAGCCAGCTAAGATTTACGGTGCTTAGTGTAAAGGCATTTGATTAAAATTACCTTCATTCTGCAGTTAGTATGGAAATCCAGAGGTTCCAAATCACGAAATGCCCGTTTTGACCCAACCCCTCGAACTCAGTTTTGTCCGTCTTTTCGGACGTGCATTATCGCCGAATGTAGCGGGAAAATTGATAAAAATATAGGTTTTTCATTCGCTCAAACAACTGTGTAATATCTTCTAATCAAATTTAAACGGTCGCTTCTTGAAAACCTCATTTTATGCACTTTAGGACTTCAAACATAAAGGTGGCTGTCGTTTTCTTTTTTTTTTCTAGTTGCTTGAAGCTGGCATTGACATGTATGTTTTAAAAATTAAATTGCGCTGAAAAGTAAAAAAAAAAAAAAATTTGACTAAAAAAATTAATCTGGTTGGTTAAGTAGCATTGCACGGAACAGACTATACCGCCACATTGTGTTTTTCCTTGAACGTATTAATTGGACTATATGTTGAGCGTGAGCACCCATCTGTTTTGTCGCACACTGCAACATAGGAATGACCATTTCTCTGTTTTCGCTGCAGGAACAAAGTAGTTTTTTGCAGAATTTCGCCATCTGAAGGACTGGCTTGCAATCCCCCATGGAGCGTTCATTGCGCTGATTATGATGAGTTTTGTTACCAACCTCTCTTTCGTTCTTTAATGCGTATGCTCATTATGACCCCTTATCTGAGGGAGACTACCAACGACTATTTTTGTTGACAAAGGATATACCAATAGGAAGCAAACACTTATATTGTTTTTAATTTGTAATTGTTTTTGTACCTCAGGTGCTGAATGGGGCGGGTGTGAGCAGGGCAACTCCTTGGTGGTCATTCTGGTGGCTGTCACACTCTCCACCGTCTTCCTTCTCCTTCTGCTCGTAGTCGTGGCTCGGTGTCGCAGCAAGAAGAGGTTAAAGGCAAACTCAGGTAAGACATCTACCCGCTTTCCCCACAAAAGTCCCGAATGTTTTTGCGCTTGTTTATCACGTAGTAATTTTATTACCACATTAGACAGCAAGTTTTGATTCGTACAATAAAAGCGAATCGGCTCACTGCATTTGGATATCCGCCCTAAACGCAATCTCATAAGTAACCGCATCAGTTTTATTCTCATTTCCTTTGTAACGTTCGTGATGGTGGAGGTGCTACGCTGGCCGTATAGGCATTTAATTGTGCATGGGTGTGTATTTTTTTCTAACACTCCAGATACCGTGTGCAGCGTAGGAAGCCAAGGCCATGAGCTTATTGGTCACTTAGTATCCTAGTAACGCGAATCAACCGATCAGCGTATTTTCTTTCTTTCTTTGTCTCACTGCCGTGTTTGAGAGTAGTACTCTTAACATCCTAGAAATCTCCTTTCCCTTTCCTCTGCTTGCATTATTTATGTTCTTTTAGTAACTTTTTTAATGCTTATTTGGGATATAGCCAGGGTAATAAAAATCTAAAATTGCACTTTAAGTCAACCCGAAGTTTTTAGGATGCCAAGACATATTCTTTCCCTGGTCTTTGTTGCACATGTCGGATGCATTTTCATAGATTAATCTTCTTTTAAAATGTTTTATAGTATCGCAAGTATTTCTTCACGTGTTCTTGATGCTTTGGCTGGAAATATCTGTCTCTGCTAGGGGAGTAGATAACATTACCGAGGTTCTTGATTGTCTGTGGCGTAGAAGCTGTTCCGACAGGCGATGAAAATGCGCTCCCCTGGGAGAAACATCAACAACCGGAGGCGCGCTCTGGACGTATATTAAAAGCCCACCTTTCCTAAAAACAAAAAGAAAAATTATTTAAATATATTTTTAGGTGCACCAACCCATGACATTAAGCGTGCTTCATATATGTCTTGTGTGTCTTTCTTTTTTCCTTCCAGGAGATAAAATAGTGCAGAACGGCAAAACGTAAGTGCTTTTCTCTGTATTGCATGTTTTAAAACAAGCCTATTCAGTATACATATAAAATTTCCAGACATTTTATTATCGTTTTCCTTTTTTTAAGACACTGAATATGTAAAAAAATATTCTATCTGGACAACGTTGTCGACGGCAGCGCAAGTTAAGATACAAATAAAAAGCGATAACCAATCCAGTAAAAACAAATTCTAATTAAACTTGAAATATTATGCCTTTCTGGCACATTCTAATAAGATCCGTTGCACATCGTCAAATTATGATATGTTAGTTTTTATAAATACAATAGGCAAATTTTGATCCGCGATATTCGATGGCGATATTAGGCTGACTAGGGTTCGCCATTGGGAATTTAAGACAAAAAAGTGCCGAAAGTGCGTGCCCGATGAGACACTAAAGTTTACCTCATCATTTCTACAAACACGTGGCCCTTAGATAACACGACGCTGACGTTACATTTTGGTTGAAAATTCTTCCGAATTTTAAGTCGTACTTGGGTATCTATTTTGGTTAAATCCATAAAGCTTTCAGAGAATACCGCTGAGCAGCATATGCATTTTTGCTAAATGACTAAAATATACCTAGAAGCGTGTGCGATGGCAGTTCCGTGTGCTGGCGTATGCTGTAGTTACTAAAAAAAAGTAAAAAAAAAAAAATTTCACTTCGAGACCTTGTTCTTCAAACTCGGTAATCCTTTTGAGAAAAAAAATATTCGTTACCGAAAACCCCAGTACAAACTAGATTATCGAACAGAAAATCGAATTAAATTTTTTTGCTGGAAACCTGATATCCCGTTTGCAGACAATTGTTTTCAAACTAGATTTCATGTTTCCAGCAAGATATCCTGTTAGATTTTCTGTTCCATAATATAGCTTATAATTTTTGTTTGTTTTTCCGGTAGGGTTGAACAACATCGTAATTTACTCTTTTTTTTTTTCAAAACAAATTTGTGTTCTTGTGTGGTGTCGGACGAGACTTTTTACAAGTGGAACCTCCTCAAACTTGGCCAAACGTGCAAACGTTTCTCTAAGCAGACAAACCTAAAGTTCTACGGAAGTTTGCAACATCTTTTGTGCCAAACGTTTTGCTGATGAGGGACGCCTTGCTCCTTGAGCCCACTTCGTCGCGCACGTGCGGCGAAACTGTCGCCGCTAGACGCGCATCGGCTTGTTTGAAACATCACGCGATATCAGAACTTTTAAACCGGAGTCACACTGCGAATACATCATACAAATGACAGTGTGAATATACTGTCTGAGGAGTGCTTCCTCCTCTTGTCGCACTGACCAAGCAAAAACTGTGTTTAGACATGTTCTAATCATACATGTATGCATGAAGCACTCATGCCTTGAACATGCTTTAGGGGCGTCCTCAGATAATTTTGTCATCGTAAATGCAGTGAACACAATGTATTTTGGATGATGCACGAGCAGTGTGACAAGTTTACAAAATTCCATGCGCGAAAAGTACTGTACCCAAAAACTGGTTTTATGATCCCGTTAAGCTCAGTGCGTTTAAGTGTGGTTATGACTCTTTGGACGCTCTGTGGACCGTATACATCTGACAGAAGCGCGTGTCTTGCGACCGCTCTGACCTTCGCGTGTAGTTAAACGGAAGCAGAAAACAAAAACGAACGTCACGAATGGAAGACTGAAGGGCAGAGTCGGAGAGGCAGTCTGACATATCGCTCACCACCAGGCAATTTGAATAATATTGATTCCATCTGGGTATATCAGAATTTTGATTAATTTAGCTATGGAGTTTCATACTAAATCGAGCAGACTGGTACACGGTGCGGCACTGTTAGTACAAACAAACATTGATAAGTTTGATTTCTTTTTAATTAGCACTTTTGGTTGCTTGATGACAAATCAAACTGGTCATCATTTGTTCGCTCCAACAGTGTCGCGCTGTAAAACTGAGCGGATGCCATAAAACTTTCGGTCGTGGAAATTGCCTATTGAGGGCAGCAGCCTCTGCGGAAAATGTGGGCTCTTATCCATACTCTAAGTGAAATTAAAAAAAAACGGCAATGTCGCGTTCGCTTCAACAGGGTGGCGCAATGTGCGCTATTTAGGAGAGTACAAACTACATTCAATATGCGTTCTGAGTTATTTTCAATCTTGGGAAAGTAATTTTAAAAGATGAAATTATTTATGTTCTCGAAAAATTGGCACGACATCCTGTCAGAACGCAGACATTGTGCAGTCTTATGCTCACGTATTTTTTCCCCAACATTTTTATGTTGGAAACAGACGCATACATGGTATATATAAATATATTTTATCAAAAAAAGGGATCGACATCATGGATTCCGAAATAAAAACTGCGTGCAGGTCATCCCGTCGTCACTGTAGTATCCAACGGAGTGTAGAAATGGTACCAACAGCATTCTTAAAACAAAACAAAAAAAAAACTGTTTGCTTCGCAGCTTTAAGAACACTGGTAATAATTTGGGACGGTACTGGTTTGCAGTATCTCCTGACAGTAAAAATAGCACCAACAGCATTCTTTAACATGCATTAAACGGCTTGAATTGCAGCTTATATGAACCCTGCTATTGATTTGGACGGGACTGATTGGAAGTATTCACCGAGAGTAATTTTATGAAACGCAATAACACGTCGAAATTTTTTGTTCAAGTAGCTCCCAACATTTTAGAAGTTGTCGTTTAGTCGGAAGTCTAAAAACATTAAGAAAATACTCCCACTATTGTGAAGTTTTGCGCTTATTACGAACGTACAAATGACATTCAAGGTGTGTTTTGAGTTATTTTTTATTCTTGAGAAATTAATTTTGAAACATGAAATTATTCAAGTTCGCCAAAAATTCGCATGACATCATGAGAACTGTAGTTTTAGCTCAAAAGTTTCCAAAGCAGCGCAAAGCTCAGCATCTTTATTGTGTTCGAATGTGTAAGCCCATATGCATGGCTCAGTGGAAAGCAAAGAGCTTCCATCCCTGCAGTTAGTATATCGCTCTCCGTCTACCACCATAGGTAGGGGCAAAGTACCTGGCGAATCGGCTGCAGATTATGCTAGATGTCACCTCTACAAAATCTGATACACATTGTCGGCTCGTTGCTAAGCCTTCATCCTTCAGAGCTCAACCATGGTTGCCTATTAGAGCTTTAGCTCCGAATTCTCCAAAGGAGCGCAAAACTCGACATCGTTAATGTATTCGAATGCGTAAGCCCATATGCATGGCTCAGCGGAAAGCAGAAACCTTCCGTCCCTGCAATTAATACATCGCTCTCTGTCTACCGCCCTCTTCTACCCGCGGCGTTGTTTTTGTGTCGCATCTGTAGTTTGGCCCCAACTTGCAATACACAAAGTTTCGTCGAAATTGCGAGCTAACCACACTTATCGTGTCAGACTCATCGAGGTATTAGGCGGTGGAAAAATTTAGCCGTATGCGTTAAGTCTTTATATGCATCGCTTTTTGTTCGCTTTCCGCTCACTGAAGAACACGACAAAAGAGCTCAAGTACACACCTAATCTTCAGAGCCGTATATCGGGAGTGTTTGGCCAATGCGCGACACAGCGTTGACCAATCAACATACGTCAATGTCACAATTTTGGAAAAAACGTTTAAAGCGTAAAGTAGGAGTGTTCGATTTCGCAGCAGCAATGATCGCAACTACGCAGTCTGCTCTGGCTTGAAACGAGCATTTCTTTATTATACCGTTGAATATGGACATGAGGAAAACCTCACGCGCGCCAAGTTTTCAGTCACCAGTAGTTACACCTTTTTACACTAGCGACGCTGAAAGGGCTTAAGTTAGTCGAATCGCATTTTTAGAGCTCACGACCACCGCTAAGGACTGTTTCACGGCCCGTGGTTGGCCACGAGATCATCGCCTGTTCAAACCAATGAATGGCCAAACTCTCCCAATATACGGCTCTGCTGATCTCGACACTCCACCGTCTCCTTTCGCAGGATAAATTCACTTCGTTGTGGAAAGCATCACCGTGGCAACAAAGAGTCTTCTTTATGAGCGAGCGCGCGGACGCAGCGTCGGAAGCCAGCAACGGTAGACACCATATTCCGAATGCTGTCCGCTAAATTACACGCAGCAACGCTAGCCGAAGTAGGACAAACAGTTGCGGTGGTCGACACAAAGAACAAGACGTGGCCGCCTGGAGAACTCTCAACAGCACATACGGGGCTTGATGCAGTGTGGTCTGTTTTAAAGCCCAGCTTAAAGTTCAGGCTAGCGTTGCCGCTAGCTTTGGTAGAATACGGCATTCGCCAATGGGTACGGCCGTAGCTGGCCCGAAAAGCGGCGTTCGCGTATGCGTCAATCAATATTCGGTGACCAGAGCAAACATACTTTATCGTGCGAAGAAAGACAGCGGCGTGGCGACATGAGATGGCTGCTTGCGCCCTTCCACAGTGTTTTCAATGAGTGGAATGGGAGTAAAAATTAAAGAAATAGGCATTTAACGCGGATGGGTAATTTTTTTCCACTGCCAAATATTTTGATGAGCCAGCCCTATTGAAAAACCATGTTTTGGGGCCATCCGCCGGCACTTTTATTTCACTCGAAAATATAAATTACTTTTCTGCCTGTTTCGTGCTGCTTTTCATACTTTTAAATTGTATGTGATACTTAATAAAGAGGAACCTTTCCAAAAAATGAACATAGTAGCCCTCAAAAAAAATTATTTGGCTTTTAAAAATGCATTATGATGGCTCTGACTTGTTACAAAGCTCATACATGCTAAGTCACTCGCATTTGGCTTTCAACGGCACGTGGCAACACCGTAGGTCAAGTCGTTTTTTCCGCGTCGTCTGATTGAATTATGATGCTCTAATGGTTCGCAACTTTATATTATACTGCCCAAGCCCCGATAGGGCCAGAGACCTAAAAAAATGCCCCTAGCTCTAATGCAGTTGCAAGATATCTTAGTGAGGTTGAACAATTATAAAATATTTTTTTTAATCAAGTACGCGTTCCCAAAGAAAAAAGTGAGAATGTTACTTGCCTGCCGGAGGTATTATGTTGGCAAACACAAGTGTGCCAACAGCACCCACAATCACTCTCCATTGCTGTTTTATACTTCCCTGGCAGATCTCCGCGCACCTGCGACGGCTCGGTGACCCTGACCACGTTCAACTGCGTCGACGGGGAGGAGCTTCGTCCCACCGTCCTGGACACTTCCCCGACAAAGCCACCCTTCCACGCGGACTACATCACCGACGTCAACAACCATACTCCGGCTTTTTGGCGCCAGAAGATCGTGGACTTCTGATATCCGGACGTGCTCCCGACGAGCAGCGCGATGGCCATGACCACCTTCGGCGACGGCGCCGGGGCAATGTCTTGAGGAGCGGGACCCTCACCCAACCTGTCGCAGGGTCTCTCTCACGGTGGCCCAGGACGAAGTGATCTCGCGACGAAGAGCCTCTGTGTCACAGTGCCGTGACAAAGTGTCGTCCTAAGAGTGTTCGAGACAATAGCTGCCAATACTAGATGTACCGGCGTTCTCAACCGACATGGTTCGAGATGAAGGCTGGGAAGAAGTGTGCGAGCCGGATTTCTTTCAGGTGGTGTGACTAGCAGGACCAAGTGCATTCGTGCAATTTCAAACGATTCATGCGACCACGGAAGTTTACGCGGTTGCTCGTTTTGGCGTCTCTCACGAACGTCATCCCCTGAGACGTGTATCATGTCAATGATCAACAAAGGCGGCGGCCGCAACGCATGGCTCAGCGATATCTGTTGACTCGGCAAAAAACTGAAGACCACCGTTTCCGCTCTGGAGCTGTTCAGTGTTTGCAGCTGACGAGGCTTTCAACGTGAAGGGTGTTGGGTAGTCTAAAACCTATCGGTGGTATTCAACTGAAGTGCTCCCCGAGAAGGGGAGCTGTGGACAAACTGCTCCCAACTCACGCTCTGAGTGCGTGGCCGGGAAGAAAGTTAAGGGGGAGGCTAGGATTGCTCCGTGTGCGTAGGAAAGCGTGCTCATGTGAACGCGGCTGACTTGAGCCGCAGCTTTGAGTGTAGGTATGTCCGTGCGTCCAATGCCAAATGTAGAAAACGTGCAGCCAACGCTGTACTATGCAGGGGACGACTCGACGGAAAAATCTGAAAAGGGAGAAAGCGGTATCGCAACAGCTCGGAATACATACGTCCCATAGAAGCGCATGAGCTGCGGGGGTCATCAAATATTTATGTGCACACCCCACCGCTGTAGGCATTTACTCTCGTTGATATCTACGCTGCCGGTCTTCTGCCAGAAGTTACGAGAACGATCAGAGGTTTTCGCTTCGGGTTTTTTTTTTTTTTCGGAGAGGATTTGTGTTTACTTCGCGGCTACAGTTTCTGACAGGAGCGGATATCCCAGGTGGCGCCATCGTCCTACCTTTGTAAGTTTTGTCAGGCGTACGCTACGTTAACGTGTGTACATATTATATTATATATTTTATACAGGACGCTATTGTGTGTCACCGGAGGCTTGTCATCGAAGTTACTCATATATATAAAGATATATATATAAATATATAAATAAATATATAACAGATGTATTTAATTCGCTGTGAAACGAAAAAAAAACTTCTGTGTGTGCGTGTTTCGACTTTGAAGTACTCTATAAAATGTCAACGTGTCTTTTTCTTTTGTAATCTAAGTCTTTTTTACACTTCACGCAGGAGGTAACGCGTATTCGCTGTATTTGAAACGTGCGCGTCTTCTTTAATCGGTGGTGCTTTATTGGCGCTCCCAATTTCAGCTGCAGCCTTTGTTGTCTAACACGGGAGATTGCTCAGGATGTAGAGGCAAAGACTTTGAATATTTTTCCCTTTCTTTGCCTCACACCACGGTGGCTAGCGAGACACTGTCTGTAAAGAAACTGCAAACAAACTCTGGCTTGCGTCAGTGACGTCTGTCTCATATTTGGGACATCATTGGTGCGCGAATACGGTGGTTTTGGTGAGACTTGGCTACTGTGCCGAGAAAAACTGTGGAACCTGGATGCAGTTAAACAATCAATTTCAAGTGTGAATAAACGAACCGGTGCAGAATGCTCCTCTTCGCTGTTTGTTTGCCTTCTGTCTCGACAGTAGCGTCATTAAACGACTGAACAAGATGGATAGGCTGTATACACGGAGGCGAAGAACTTGAAGCTCCTAAATATACGGCAATATAAATAAAGAGTGCACATCTTTTATTCTAAGAAAAACCTGTATCAGGTTTATTTTGTATATTTTATTTGTTTGGGTACCTGGAATGCCTTGTGGGGCCTTGTAGTAAGGTGGGCACATACGAAAACAAGATAAAATGACTGCACTGTACCAATTAATACAAAAAATACCATTGATAAAACACACTTTCAAAAGTGAAATGATTAGAAAACAACGTTTTGAAATACACTTGTACTTCGCTAAAAAACAGCTTTCACAATGCTATCTTAATTTTCGCGGAGTAGCCTTGTGTGTTTTGAGAAAAAATGTTTTTTGGTAAACATCATATTGACAAATTTCGATATACTTAAAGGATTGCGCTATTTAGAACACCAGGCACCAATCTTGTTAAGGTCACTTAGATCAGTGGTTCTCAACCATTGATTTCAGCGGACTTCTTCTGGATTGGCGGAGATGAAGAAAGACCGCGTTCGTGGTGAGGGGAAGGAAAAGTTATAAGGTAATTAAAAGTCATTTGGTAAATTAACACAACTAAGCGCTAGTACGAAATAGGCTTATCTCATTGACACACACACAAGAAAACTCACCCGAAAATTGGAACGTCTCTTTTCAACTTGAAAAAAATTGAATTTTTATTGCCGGGCTTGGCTGATGAGTCATGGTTTCGCGGACTTCTAGAACGCCTTCGCGAACTCCAAAGGAGCTGTGGAACCTTGTTTGAGAACCACTGAATTATAGTATCGCAAATAACACAAGCAGCACAGATTTGACCAATCGTTGGCCAATGGCTGCTAATGGTCCTTTGGGCAGTAGCCAGACAGTGGCCAGCTAGCGGCCCATGACTGGCCTTTGTATGACCATTGGCCAGTGGTTATTGGCTATCAGCCATCAGCCAAACATTGGCCTATCAATGGCCACTCTTTCGGGATTGGCCAAAAAACCATCGCCCGTCATTGGCCAATACTTGGCCAAAATCTGTGCTGCTTGGGAGTGGCGTCACAGGTGACATATCTGTAATAAAAGCAATTGTCCACCTATAAGTTAATGCTAATATTTATTGTTTGACTAAATATTTCAAAATTATTTCAATAAATATAAATTAGCATGGTTTCAAGTACCACCTTTTACAGAACATCAGATGTCACGCCTAATAGCCACGCATTGTTTTGTTGAGCATATACTTCTAGTTGCTTGAGTTTATTTCGCGTCAAATCTCTTTCTCAAGTCCAAGAACATTTATAGACCTGTTAGACATAGTCATGCGAATGTGCACCTTTAAAATAAAATTCAAATAATTCAGTTGTACTTCAAAATTATAGGTGAAATTACGCTAAAACCGAGAAATAAAACTAGATAGGCTCAGATGAACCTTCAGGCTACTATATATTGTGCTCTATTTATTTACAGCACACACTGGTTAGAAAAATCGGCCTGCAGATATCAAACATATTTTATGGCCTAATTTATGTATGAAGGCAAGATTATTTTGTTCCCAATAATGTTGAGAACAATAGCATTTTGCAGATTTAGACAAAGTTACTAAGTAACAAGAAGCAATAGAAGCGCGTTTTTTTTTAACTTAATATGGAATGCAATCTGCACCTGATTCTGCGCCGTTCTATTTATTCTAGTTAGCAACTTAAAAGTAGCACGAGCATCCAAATAAATTTAAGCATATGATCTATAGAGGAAAACAGCATGAGTGGGATGAGGACCAAGAAAAGAGGTACACACGATACGTACTGACATAGCCTCCTCTATACTCACAAAGCCTGGCAGTTCGATGAGGGAGCTATAGAATACCCGGTCGCAGCTTTGGAGCCCGAGGATCTGGCAGCACAGAGCCTTTCTCGGGGAGTCTTGTATTCAGGGCACAGCTTTTGCAGCGGCGAGGACCCAAAACATGGTTTTCAAACGTGACGAAAAAATAAGCGTTAGCCCAAGGAACACGAGAAGCACAAGCGGACATTCCATCGCTCGGGACAAGTGTGTTCCGGCGTCTCGCCACAGCGGTGCGCCCGTTACGGGACACTTGTCTGTCGTTCTACCTTTTCACTTTTGGCGGCCCCATCTCGTGGCGATCTGCCCGGCTTTTTCAGTATAGAGGAGGCAGTGGTACTAAGTATCAACTGAAATTTTTTACAATAAAAACACGAAAACTTAGAGGACGCTTAAGGTTCGCCTTTGAGAGTGGAAACGCGATAACGTTATTGGGCCCCGTTCGCATGGCCTACTCATTCGCTTCTCGTTCTCTTCCTGGCAGTAACCAGAAAGTGCAGCGAACACGAGGGCCTAGTCAGTATCGTGTCTGGCACGCAACCGAAGGAAGGTTGATTTGAATCCCGACTAAAATTGTTCTAAAATCTCTTTAAGGCAAAGGAATTACATTATAAAGTGAAATCACTTCAGAAATGCGGCTACATTTAATTCGCAATACATGTCATGTTTCTTAATCACTTTCACTGCACACGTCACGTGACGTTTCACGTGAGCGTAGTAGGTTGTTTGAAACTCCCTCGCGAGGTTCTGTGGCTGTGACTTCATGAACTTATCAACCAATGTGAATTTTCTTGTCACACCCGACTTTTCTGTCGGGTAGGGAGTACCGCTAGTTCCGCCGATCACTAACCTCAAGCACATCCTCCTTGTGAAACAACAGCGATATACATTTAAGGTAGATTTGGTTGAGCACGTGAGGTGAAAGAAAGAAGTCTCTGAACGTCGTGCTTAGTGTGTGCGCGCGTTCAGTGGGGTCATTCTCCTGTTTCTGCTTTAACAAGATTTCAGTGGCAATACAATCTACTAGAATACTGTTAGTTACTAATCACTGCTTGACCTTTGTGTCCTTGTACTCGCTCCTGTAGCGTTGTTCTTGTGTATCAACTCTTACCAACTCGGCCAAATTTCCATTCTAATACGATTTACAAAATTAGATAGAGTTAGATTTCAGCGCCTATAATCACAAGACATAGCCTCCGAAAAAAAAAAAAAACTTGAAATTGCATTGCTTTACAGCGCTTCACCTGTCACGTGTTACAAGGTTTTCTTGGACAAAAATTAGAAACGTGATCTATACTACGCCTTTGTGATTGTGGTTAATAGGCTTCCC